ATTTTAGTTTAAATACGAAACTTCAACAGTTCTTACATGCTACTTTCCATATGAAAAAACTTGGTCAACTTTCATATTTTTTGGGACTGGAGTTCACCATCGGGACAATGGTATTTTCTTAAACCAGCACAAATATGTTCAGGATCTTATTGCATTAGTTGGGTTGGAAGACTCTTCTTCGGTGGACACTCTAATGGAGGTAAATGTAAAGTACAGGAAAAGATGAAGGGAACCTTCTGGATGATCCTACTCTATATCGTATTTTATTTGAGAGTCTTATCTATTTGACTACCACTCGTCCAGATATCTCTTATGCCATCCATCAGGTCAGTCAGTTTATGTCTAGTCCACGACATTTCCATCTTGCTGCTGTTCGCCGCATTGTTCGTTATCTTCGTGGTTCACCTATGTTCTTTCCTAGAGGGTCTTCCTTTCAACTTTATGCCTACAATGATACTGATTGGGTTGGGTGTCCTGATACCCGTCGCTCGACTATGGGCTGGTGTATGTTTTTGGGTGATGCCTTTATCTCTTGGAAATGTAAGAAACAAGATCGTGTTTCTAAATCATCCACTGAAGCTGAGTATCGTGCCATGTCTACAGCTTGTTCTGAAATTATTTGGTTACGTGGTCTACTCAAGGAGATTGGGTTTCCTCAACCTAATTGTACTCCTCTTCATGCGGACAACACTAGTGCTATACAAATTACAAACAATCCTGTCTTCCATGAAAGCACCAAGCACATTGATGTTGATTGTCATTTTATTCAGAATATTTTGGAGGATCGGGTGATCTTCCTTTCCTACATTTCTTCTGACCTTCAAGTGGCAAATGTCTTCACCAAAGCATTGACTCGACAGTGGCATCAATCTCTTGTTGGCAAATTGTTGCTGGTTGACTTCCTAGCATCAATTTGAGGGGGGATGTTATTGTATATATTGGGTTATATTTGGAATAGATTAGATACCCTATTTTTGGAGATTGCAATTTATTTATTTCCTTGTATATTATAAGATTGTGTATATATGTACAATAACGCACCACAAACAGGACAGAGAAAATTTTCAGAAATTATTCGAGGTTTCTTTGATATGTTTTACCAGCTGTAGCTGGAAATTAGACAGTTTTCTTGAGATGGAAACTATAGAACCTTATTAGTTGAGCATTGCAAGGAACTGGAAACTAGCAGGAATTATCTCTGTTATGTTAAGAAGTTCAACAAGGTTCGTTTGGACAAGCTTCAATGATGAAATAAGTACTCCGACTGATGGCAGGTATGCATTGCAAGTCGAAAGAGGCATCTTAACCACCAGGCTGCAGTTCGATGGTAAAGTCGATAGAACATTTAGTAGTGGATTCAACTCAATCAAAAACTGTCCATAGCTATTGTTGGTAGCACTAGCAACTGTATTTCCAACCCCACATTGCAACTGCACTAGAGCATCTTTAGGGAAAAATAGTAACTTGAGATTTAAGTACAAGGTTTTTCAAAACAAGTGCATAATGTTTTTTGACATGTACTATCGAGTGACAAAATTGTAAGACACTGCTGGAAACAGGAGCGGCCTAAAAGTTGTCATCGCTACTAATAGAATCTTTTAGAGATTCATCAGCATATTTTATTCATATATCCTTCTTCAAGTTGCTGTCACTTTCTTTTAATACTTTGTCATTATCCCTCGCATGCAAGTAAGCGTTCTCCTTCCACTTTTTTGTAAAGGAAGAAAAAGAAAACACTAAACCACTAGAACGTTCTAGCCCAGAAAATGACAGGCAAACGAGAGCAGAACTCAGACATCATGAGGCTTTGAGGTACTCAAGGTGTAAGTTTAATGGAAGTCTCATCTCAAGCGTGACTATTGCATGTGAATTGTGAATAAAAAGAGAGAAACAAAAGAATGAAGAAATTAGCAAAGCTATATTTGCAATCTTCCAACACCTTAATATATAGAAAAATAATCAAGAAATTGAGGAACCCGATATAGTTTGTACAAGGTCACATAGTATATTTCATTATTTTTTTGTTTTTCGATGAAACTCACCAGGGAAAAGCGTGTTGCAGGGCCATTGACAGTGCAAAACACAGTCCAATTGATCCTTATTGTGCTAAAATCCTTTTTGAGCTTCTGCAATTACTGCTGCCATTAATGCAACAGCCATGACAAAAAATTAAGAAATTTGATTTACGGGCCATGGTCTCTGGATGATAAAAATAGAAAGGCAAAAGCTACAGATTTTGCTGCAAATTAAGGGCTAAGTGCAGCCAATTTATACGAAGCGTTGCTCAGGGCATGTTGGAGCAAAATTAGAAGTTCTTTTTTCTTACTGCAGTATTTTAAAGAAGAGAAGAAGCTAATATCATGTCTAGTGTACTGTTTTGTCCTATTCAGTACTTCGAACTAGAAATTTTGGATGAGGGATTGTATGAACTGTATTTAAAGTCAAAGAGACAAGTTTCGGTGGGTTTTTTCTTCTCAAGATTTGCCTGTGAAACTAGAACTAGCATTTGCAGTTGATCATCCCCTTGCTGCATTTGCAGTTGATCATCCCCTTGCTTCCCTCTACTTTGTGGGCTTCACTCTAGAGACTAGAGGTAGATCTAATGCACTCCTTAATCTTCTATAGCATGCTTCATTTTGCCTGGTAAGGAAGCTTTTTTTTCCCTCTCTTTCAGAACCAAGTAATGGTCCATTCAATGCAACTTGCTAGAAGTCGACTAGAAACTCGAAAAGTTTTTAGAATTAAATCTCCAATCCACTTAAGTCCAGAATATATTTATACTAATATTGGTTGAATACAAATGCTGAGAAATACTAAAAGGCACGTTCACTATCAGAATTCTCCCAATCCACGTCTACATATAATCTGCCTCGCTGTCTTCATTTCCCTTTTTTCATCACTCTTCACTTCCTCTTTGCCAAGATTCAATATGACGTTTCTTCAGTAGATAATTTATCCTCCTGTTCTCTAACCTGCATAGAGCAAAAAATTTAAACTAAGAGCAACATTACATGAAGTAATTCATTCCTAGAATCTTGACAAAACATTACAAGTAATTATTACAAGGTAAGATGTCTTGATTACATTTTATATCAACCAAAAAGAAGAAACAGAATAGTGTGTACTAAAAACAAGAAGTGGTACTTACCAGGGGCGAATCTAGGATATCGACTCAACTAGGGCGATCGTTGATCGTTGGCCGTTGACTATCGATAATCAACGGCTATATAGCGATATCGTTTATTAATATTAAATAACATAATATTAAAAATTCTTCGATCTATATGTAAATACACTAAAACATAAAAATCGTATATTTATATCATATTATATTTCAATACCGTAAAGTGATATCGTTTATTAATATTTAATAAAATAATATTAAAAATTCTTCGATCTATCTGTAAATACACTAAAACATAAAAATCGTATATTTATATCATATTATATTTCAATACCGTATAGTGATATCGTTTATTAATATTTAATAAAATAATATTAAAAATTCTTCGATCTATCTGTAAATACACTAAAACGTAAAAATCGTATATTTATATCATATTATTTTTCAATACAATCCGAAATACTATAAATTACATAATACATAAAACTTCTTTGTATTATCAATGTTTAACAAATTGCTTACTTGACTAAAAGTAGTTGAAAGATTCCACTACAAGAACTAGATTGAGATTCAGTTGAAAAAATCATTCCATAATCAGTATGAGAACTGAATGTTAATTAAAGATTGAATGTAATTAAAATTAATTTTAAAATATAATTAAAGTTTCAATTTCCAATTTTCAACACCAATTCATCACAAATTATAAATTCCCTAATTTCTCATTTTCAATTTTCATAAATCACATATTCACATTCACGATACTCAAATTAATTTTTAATATCACAATTTATAGTGGACAAATTCCCAAATTCTCAAATAACATATAAATTAAAACTCAATACTCGTAATTCATATCTTATAAATTATTAGAGCATAAGATATTTGAAATGACAAAAACCAACCAAAAAATAAAAATAAAATAGTCATTAACTCGCCTAGAGTCTTAACATATATTATTTTGTTAAACTTAGATTCAAAATTCAATCATTGCCATGATGGTTAAGCTTACAATAATCCAAATTAGAAGTTATAGATTCGAATCATTTTCTTAGGGAATTAATTTTGATAAATATTGTAGAAATAAAAATTTTGCACAATGAAATAGACGGGAAGGAATCGAACCCAAGACTTGTAATATAAAAATGCAAGCTCAAACCAACTAAGCAAAAGAAGGGTTTAAAAATAAAATGAACTATTAGTTATATAACCTAAAATTTTTATCTATTATAAAAAAAAATAAAAAATAAATAATAATAAATTTCTCCGGCAAATCCAGCTAGGGCCTGCCACTGGTACTTACTTTTTTTGGTGTTTCTCTTACAACAAGTTTACCCTTATGCCGCTCTATTTCTTTCGTACAAGCAACAATTGCATTACTTAGAATTTCTATTCCTTTTGCCTGCAATCAAAACAGAAGTGCTGAATTTCATCCAAAAAAATTCCATCTTTTATTCACACATCAATAGAAACGATCAAAGATCAGAGACTTCCTGTTACAACTCAAATTTCATAGTAAAAAACTCAAATGTTGACTAGTCAAGGTCAAAGTCAATTAAGGACTTAAATGAAATAAATGATTTTATTGGGACTTGAATTGACTAAAATCTTTTATTGAGGTTTATTTTACAATTGGCAATATATGAGGGTAAAATTTGATACAATTTGAAGTTGAAAATTTACTTATATATTTTTGGGAAGTTTAGGATTTATATGTTAGCTCATATTAGAGAAGAGGAACTTTTCTTGCAAATTGGAGTTAGTGGGATTTAAATGCCTTTGACCCATTTCTTTTTTCTCTAAAATCACACACACACAAGAAGCAAGAAAAATAATCGACAGAGAAGAAGAAGAAATCGCCACGAAGAAAAAGGAAAGAAAAAGGGAAAGAAAAGAGGGAAGATAAAGAAGGAGAAAAAGGAAAAAAGGAAGAAGAAGTAAGGAAAGAGGTAGTTCATGGTCTATTTCCATTTTTCCTTTCTCTTTATTTTCTTCAAGAGGTAGATAAATTTTATGTTAAAATTCTAGGGTTTTATTTTTGGCTCGAAATTTTCAGATTTTCGAGATGAATACTACTTGGAACTCAAGTTATTGATTTTAGAATTTCTATTTACACTAAGGTAAGGAGATATCAATTTTTTTTGTTTTTTTTGGGCAAACCTTAGTTTTTAAATTTGATGATTGAGCATGGATTATTTGTGAAAATGATTACATTAATGAAATTATTCACTTGGAAGAATGATTTTGGGGAACGATGGATATATTAATTTGGTTGTAGTATGATTACTATTTTTTCACTGGAATGAAGGGGATAAATATTGTTATGATTGGAATGAAGTTAAATTTGGATGTGGTATATAATTTTGAAGGTTTTATAAAGTGAAAATTAGCTCCAATTAATTAAAGGAAATTTAGGAAAATTTCGCAAGTATTGGGGAATTTAGTTTAATTATTATATCATTAGAGATAAATTGTTTCTTTATTTTAATAGCGATTAAATTAGTTATTTTGTAACGTATTTCAGGTGGTGATGAAGAAATTGGAAAAAGCTTACTGACCGGCCTAATATGTAGCTCATATTGAGTGAGTGGATATAAAACTTATTTTTCAGAAATTAATTATTTATTAAATTTATGTTAGATTAAAAAACTTATTATTTCATACGATTGATTTTGACAATATGATTTTTAGAATAAAGTGAATTTATAATCAGATATTTTTAAAGTTAAATTTAATTCAATTAAATCATTTGATTAGCATGTTATTTGAATATAACCGTTTCAGTATAGCTAAAATTATTTTTTAAACCACCAGAATGTGCCCAAGTGATTTTACCCCAATCTGCACTGGTGTGAATGTGTTTCCACATTGTATGATTAGTTATGGCGATTTTACCTGCTCTGCACTATTGTGAATGTGTTTCCATAGTGTATGACCAGATTATCAGTGGTCTTTGAAACCCACTCTCGTACACACATAGGCTTTGGACCGTGTACTATGGTGATTAGCCTTTGGGGCAGCTCTGGGTACGTATGACCAGATTATCAAAATATCATATTTGAATGGCTCTGTCTTGTACATCGAGATTACTCTGTATATGAGTAGGCTATTCATTGGGTACCTCTTTGGTGTGATTTTTCAGGATTTCTACAGCTTATCAGATTATAGAATTCAATCTATTCATTTCTCAAATTAAAGCTTTCAGCTTATAGTATTGAGTAGCAGTAATATTTCACAGATTTTCACAGATGTCATATTATTTATATTCATTACATTTTACAGTTACTTATCTAGAATGAAGAACAAAGAATTTTATGATGTATTTATGCTTGATTTTAAAAGAGTTACCAGATTTCAGAATTTCTAGAAGTTTTAGTAGTGCAAGAATTTGCAGAAAATATGCATAAATGAGAAAATTTTGCTTATTTGAAAGTTATCTACTCACTGAGCTTTAAGCTCATATATTTTTTCACCTTTTTCTTTATCAGACAGATAGCAGTCGAATTGAGCAGCTTTGGAGCTTGTCGAACCATCGAATTGAGCCATGCGTCGTAGGTTGTATGACATCCTCTATCAGGTTATTTAGTATGCGTTCTTTTGGGATACATGTAGTTTAAATCAGAAAAAAATTCATTATGAGCTCATTAGATATTTGGTATCTTTAATACATTTGAAGATTGTTGATTGTAAAACAAGTAAATATTGATTTCCTAGAATTTTATTTGAATAGTTTGTATTTTTAGGGACTGGCGTACCCTGATTTATATTATAGGTATTGATTTGAGGAAATTGGTTATTATTCAGGCGGTTTAGTTCATATTTCAAGGAAAATTCTGTCAAAATTCTTTTAAAATTTCGTCATAGTCAAACAATTCAAAGTTGCCTTGGTGGTGGGTCCGACACTTAATTGGTATCTACCATCGACGCACGACACGTGTCCGGTCTATTAGGATGATTCGGGACGGGTCGTGTCAATTGGTATCAGAGTATGATTCAGCGGTTGTTAAGCTTGAGTAATTCATGAATTTTTTTTTTCAGAATAGTAGGTCATTGAGATTGTTAGTTGTGGCGTGGTGGCAAAACTCATAGGCTCCAATGTAATATTTGAAACTTATGTTACCCCTTATAACGAAGATATGGCAGCTTAGAAACAAGGACCTCTAGTGATTTGATCATATAAGTATGAGGATGTTATTGTGAATTATCGATGGCAATGAGAGTTGTTAGAGTTGTCATGTTCGTCCATGTTATATTTTCTCTAATATATTAATAATTGTTCTATATATCTGACATGCTGTTCAGCTAAGAGTATAACTTTTCTCGGTGGTGGAATGCAAAATCACATCATTTAGATTTATTGGGTTATGAGCTGCTTTTATGATTATTAGAGGGAATGTCTTGTAGATGTTTTGAATGATAAATATTGTCAAGTGTTGATATATGTATAATTGGTGATATTACTAGGTGAAATCATGATTGTTTTATACATCTAAATTATTGTGGTATTATGAGAATTATTGTGGGAATTTGTAATTATATTTTGTAATGGAGAAAGAAGTGTATATTAGAAAATCAAGATGTGGAGATATGACAAGGAATCTTGTTCATGACAAAAATAATGAAACCATATCGAATGTTGATTCACGATGATAATGGTGTTATTAAATATGTACCGTGCGATTTTGAGTAAACTAATGTGGTTGTGGTCCTCCTTTGTTGATTCAGGAACGATTAAGTATTTAGGTTTGTATTTCAACTGCCATTGAAGGAAATATTAAAGGTTTAATTACTCGGTTTGGGTATATGAAAATAAGTTATGATGAATGAAAAAATGAGAGAAAATATTTCTTACAAATTTAGAAATGACCAGTATGTAACTATATCAGTTGCAAGGATTTAATAGTTGATAATGTTATAATTTGTTGGGTTGATACAGAGGTGTATGTAACCTAGTACTCAATAAGAGTGCAACAGTGAACACATCATTTTGGAATTAGAGTTTTAATGATTTTGTTGGTTATCTATCTATATACATTCGAAGGAATGGAGTACACAGTTACCTAAGTATTGAATTACATGTAAGATTATATGATTTTTTTTTATGTCTATATAGGAAAATCTCAGATATAATTTGCATGATAAATAAAAAGGGAATGATATTATGTGTAATTGATGACAATCATATGAGAAATCTTAATTATCTTGGGAAGCTAAATGATCATTAGCATCATTGAAAATTGTAGTGATGACAGGAATTAAGGTGATGTATATCTATATGTATAACAAGAATCTCATGGAGGATAAATGATGATATTATATTGAATAGTGATCGCTAGAGAATAATGTGTTATTATGCATGTTATGCATCGAGAAAATTGACGTCATGCAGCTTTGATCATTTTGATTATTTATGGGTTATTTGATTAGAAGAAGTGATAAAAATATGAATAGACTTTACAAAGACTACTTATTGCTGGAAAAATTGTTGTTAAATGAAAAGAATTATTGGATTTGTGCATTTATGTAAATTGGGGAAAATGATATGAATGAAGTGGGTCGAAGAAATACATTTTGATTTTCATTCTTGAAATGTAGTAAGAGGAATATGCATTGAAGTAAAGGAAACGAAAAGGGTAATTAGTATATCACCTTTCGCATATAAGCATATATGGTTTGAAGAATGAAATGATGCTATGAAAATTATAGAACGAGAAAGAAGAAAAGAGTAAAGAACTATAGAATTGAAATTGATGGAGATTGAGAAATTAGAATACGAAATTTTGGTGATAAATAGATGGGTGAAAAGTTCACGTGATAAATATTAAGGTTATTATTTTGTGATGTCAAGAAAAATTGATATAATTAGATGTTTTAAGTCCTACAATATAACGATTAATGACCATATTACATGATCATAACATGATCGGGTGAATAGTAAGTAAATGAAATTTATGTTTGTCCTATAGCAATATAATGCGATGAGATATTTGGGCTATTAAGCTAATTAATTTTGTCTCAGTTATTGGTTGTATTTTTATGTTTTATTATTTACCATTTGGAGGCTTCGAGCTAATTTTTGGAAGTTAAGGTGAATTTGATGAATTTTTAGTTATATAATTTTTGGGTTATTTTCAATTGTAATTTTGTATCTCATGATTAAAGTATGCTATTCTTATCAAGGTCTATTCGTTATGGAATACACAGATGAGATGTTGGATAGTTTAAGTCTAAGGTGATTATCAAATGTAAACCTTACTCAATTGTGAAATGGTATCTTTTGATTATATTATCTTAATTAAAGGTCTTTATGTTATATGCAAGAAAGCTTATGCATTGGCAATAGGTCAATGACCTCTTTATAGAATAAGAGTATAGAATTATCATGGATTAAATGTGATTATTGTATCTCCATAGAAATAAAGAGCATCAAAATTGTGTGGATTTAGAAATGTAAAAGTTTTGCAATTAGATTAAATTTTGAGGAAATATCTACTCTTGTATCAAAAATTGATAAGGGTTTGATTTATGATAATGGATCATGTTAAGGTTTAGAATGTGTTATGAAGTAAAATGATTAATTATGGATTATATGATAGATTGTTGAAGGGGCATGATTAAAACATGATTTATAATTGATTATATTGTGGTTGAATTTATGGATTGTCGTGTTATCACATTGTGAAAGAGAATAATATTTATCAATTATAGGAGTTTAAGGTATATATTTTTTTTTTATTCAAAAGAGTCGAACTTGAAGCTATGTAGATGTTATTATTAAGTGTTATTGAATTAAAGGAAAAGTATATCATAATGAGCTATTTCAATTGTTGTTGAGTATACCAGGATTTTAGAAAATTTTGAACAATTGAATTTTTGCAAATATTGTCAGTTAAGAATGGAAGCAGTTATCCTTTAATATTTTCATTTGAGGTTTTAAGTATATAGAGTGGAGACAAAATGGTATTTGAATCATTAATGATAAATCGATAAAAGTTACAAAATTATTTTTAAATAATATAGTCAGCTCATGAGATACATTAATAAACATATATGGATAAGACAATGTTTTATATGGTGGAGTTGAGTATCTATTTTTGGCTAATATAGGGAGTTACATATCTAAATTACATTGTGTAGCTTCTTATAATGTCAGGCCACTAGGAAGACAAGTTCAGAAGATAGGCTATCATCTATGGTTTGTTAATTTAAGGGAACTTGGACAATCTTTTATTTTTCTTGGAGGTGATATATAAGAAATAGATACAAGTGACTATAATAGATGTTATATATGATATTGGCATATTTCCGATACTTGTTTATTGGGATGAAGATGCAAAAGAAAGTTATTAAGCCAATTACTTCAAAGAAAGACTTTGATAAGAGAACAGTTCAAATCAGGACATAGGATGAAGTTTTGAAGACTATGAAAGTAGCATCTTGAACTTCAAATTGGAAATTAGATAAATTTTTCTAAGATTTTGGTAAAATGAAAGCTAAGAATATCATATATTGGTCTTTGAGACATTTAAAATTTGGGTCAATTGTTTCATGATGGAGTTTGCTTACAATAACAGCTACCACTCTACTATAGAAATGTCTCCTTTTGAAACTTTATATGGTCAGAAGTGTATAACACCAATTTGTTGGGATGAAGTTGGTAAGAGGAAGTTAGTAGGCCCTGAATTGGTTCAAATGACGTCTGAAAATGTGAAATTGATAAAAGAAAAGTTGAAAGCAGTCAGGATAGATAGAAAAGTTACGCAGACATACGTAGGAAAGATCTTGAATTTGCAGTATGAGATAAAGTTTTTTCTTCAATTGTCTCTTTGAAAAGGGGTGTTGAGATTTGGCAAGCGAGGAAAGTTGAGTCTAAGATACATTGGACCATATGAGATTACTGAGCGGATTGGTCCAGTTGCATATCGATTCGATTTGCCAACTGAATTATCTCGGATCCATGATGTTTTTCATGTCTCCGTGCTTCGCAAGTACATTGCAGATCCTTCTCATGTTCTAGAGTCTCATCCAGTTCACTTGAAGGAGAATTTGACTTATACATAGAAGCCAGTGAGAATTCTAAACAGAAAGATGCAAATTCAGCGGAATAAGACAGTTTCAATTGTTAAGGTACTTTGGCAGAATCAGACAGTAGAAGAGACTACAAGGAAGCATGAGGATCAAATACGTGTTCAATATCCTCATCTATTCGTTACCTAATCATATGCCAGTTGAATTTCGATGACAAGATTCTTTTAAAGAGGTAAGATTATTACAACTTAAATTTCATAGTCAAAAATTCAAATGTTGACTAGTCAAGGTCAAAGTCAATTAAGGACTTAAATGAAATAAATGACTTTATTGGGACTTGAATTGACTAAAATCTTTTATTGGGGTTTATTTTACAATTGGCAATATATGAGGGTAAAATATGATACAATTTGAAGTTGAAAATTTACTTATATATTTTTGGGAAGTTTAGGATTTAAATGTTAGCTTATATTAGAGAAGAGGGACTTTTATTGCAAATTGGAGTTAGTGGGATTTAAATGCCTTTGACCCATTTCTTTTTTCTCTAAAATCACACACACATGCAAGCACGCACAGGAAGCAAGAAAAATAACCAGCAGAGAAGAAGAAGAAATCGGTAGAAAGAAAAAGGAAAGAAAAAGGAAAAGAAAAGAGGGAAGAAAAAGAAGGAGAAAAAGGAAAAAGGAAGAAGAAGAAATTCAAGTTATTGATTCTTGAATTTCTATCTACACTAAGGTAAGGAGATATCAATTTATTTATTTATTATTATTATTATTATTTTGCAAACCCTAGTTTTTAAATTTGATGATTGAGCATGGATTATTTGTGGAAAATGATTACATTAATGGAATTATTCACTTGGAAGAATGATTTTGGGGAACAATAGATATATTAATTTGGTTGTAATATGATTGCTAGTTTTTCACTGGAATGAAGGGGATAAATATTGTTATGATTGGAATGAAGTTAAATTTGGATGTGGTATATAATTGTGAAGGTATTAGAAAGTGGAAATTAGCCCCGATTGATTAAAGGAAATTTAGGAAATTTTCACACGTATCGGGGAATTTAGTTTAATTATTATATCATTAGAGATAAAATGTTTCTTTATTTTAATAGTGATTAAATTAGATATTTTGTAACGTATTTTAGATGGTGACGAAGAAATTGAAAAAAGCTTACCGACCAACCTAATATGTAGCTCGTATTGAGTGAGGGGATATGAAACTTATTTTTCAGAAATTAATTATTTATTAAATTTATGTTAGATTAAAAAATTTATTATTTCATACAATTGATTTTGACAGCATGATTTTTAGAATAAAGTGGATTTATAATCAGATATTTTTAAAGTTAAATTTAATTCAATTAAATCATTTGATTAACATGTTATTTGAATATAACCGTTTCAGTATAGCTAAAGTTATTTTTTAAACCACAAAAAAGTACCCCAAGTGATTTTATCCCAGCCTGCACTGGTGTGAATGTGTTTTCACAGCGTATGACTAGTTATGGTGATTTTACCTATTCTGTACTATTGTGAATGTGTTTACATATTGTATGACTAGATTATCAAATTATCAGAGGTCTTTGGGACCCACTCTCGTACACACATAGGCTTTGGGCCGTGTACTAGAATGATTAGCCTTTGTGGTAGCTCTACGTACGTATGACCAGATTATCAAAATATCAGATTTGAATGGTTCTGCCTTGTACATCGATATTACTCTGTACATGAGTAAGGCTATTCATAGGGTACCTCTTTGGTGTGATTTTTCAGTATTTCTACGGCTTATTAGATTTCAGATTATAGAATTCAGTCTATTCAGTTCTCAGATTAAAGCTTTCAGCTTATAGTATTGAGCAGCAATAATATTTCACAGATTTTCACAGATGTCATATTATTTATATTCATTACATTTTACAGTTATTTATCTAGAATGAAGAACAAAGAATTTTATGATGTATTTATGTTTGATTTTAAAAGAGTTACCAGATTTCAGAATTTCTAAAAGTTTTAGTAGTGCAAGAATTTGCAGAAAATATGCATAAATGAGAAGAGTTTACTGATTTGAAAATTATCCACTCATTGAGCTTTAAGCTCATATATTTTCACATTTTTCTTTATCGGACAGATAGCAGCCGAATTGAGCAATTTTGGAGCCTGTCGAACCATCGAATTGAGCCACGCGTCGTAGGTTGTATGACATCCTCTATCAGTTTATATAGTATGCGTTCTTTTATGATACATGTAGTTTAAATCAGAAAAAATTCATTATGGGCTCATTAGATATTTGGTATCTTTATTACATTTGAAGATTATTGGTTGTAAAGTAAGTAAATATTGATTTGCTAGGATTTTATTTGAACAGTTTGTATTTTTAGGGACTGACGTACCCTGATTTATATTATAGGTATTGATTTGAGGAAATTGGTTATTATTCAGGCGGTTTAGTTCATATTTCAAGGGAAATTCTATCAAAATTCTTTTAAAATTTCGTCATAGTCAAACAAGTCAAAGTTGCCTTGGTGGTGGGTCCGACACTTAATTGGTATCTACCATCGACGCACGACACGTGTTCGGTCTAGTAGGAGGATTCGGGACGGGTCGTGTCACTTCCTAATATCAAAACCTCTATATACTTAATTTTAATGTCATAACATCCATACTTGAATATTAAAATTGACATTTGGGCTCAGGGTAGCACAACATCTTTCAAATAAATCTTAAATTTCATTTCGGGATCTTTTATTACCTTGTCGACTGTTTGAGCATATAGGACGTACTTGGGAGCACAAATTAGTCTAATTTTTACACGGCATTCGTTAGTACCAACAGCTTCAGCTTTCCTCATTGCTTTCTACATCACCAGAGACGACGAAAAAGGAAAAAGATTGAAACTAGCTTATCTCTAACAAAAATTTAACAATGGTATTAAACATAGGAATAATAAGAAAGACCTTGATGTGAAGTACACCATCAAATTCAAAACATGTCATATCAATAACAGCCTGAACCTTTAATAATTGTGAAGTTATTCTTTTCCTTATAATTTTTACTAGTGTATTCTTTACTTTGTCCGTCGGAGCAGGAACCACCTTAGACACCTGAGGTTGAAGATTCATTATCCATCATATTTTCGGTCATGGAAAGGCAAAAATTGGCGTACTGAACTGAAGGAGAGAAGATTTAACTAAAACTTAAATTAGATTACAAATTACCTTCTCACCATCAACGTTAATTTCTTCAACTTCGCGAATGAGGGATTAAGAACCGAATCAGGATCATTAACAATTAGTTTGAAGGCCTGTGACAATCACATCGTCTGTTTAGAAGGTCGGAAATATAAAAAAATAAAAATAGAAATAAAAAAACATCTAACGAGTTTGAACTCTAACCTCAAAAGAATGTCCATACTTTTTGTACAAGGGCCATCCAGCATGGATATACAAATCCTGGAAACAATTTCCTTATGATGTAAGATCTAACTGTAACTTGACAATAAAATACAATGATAATCCAATAAATTCTTATGTATTCCAAAAAGAAATTGTTGACACACAAAAAGTTCAGCCAAAGTCGAAATAGCCTAAGAAATGAAACCCAATTGGAAGATCCCCAAAAAATCAAATAGCTCAAAGAACGAACCAATCAGGCAACGCAGGATAAAGGCCCAAATAGGGAAGTCCATGAACGCGGTAATACCATCGCCCAAGGTTGCAAGTCGCCCAAGATTTGAGCTAATGAATTGCCATGCAGTCGCCCAGAGCTGTGACCCTACTCTCGTCCAAATATTCGAGTCGTCCAGCATCTTAACAAACATAAAATGTTATGGTTATCCAAAAGTACAGTTAATGAAGTAGTTATTGGGTAGTTCTATCACGTTCCACAATTCAAGGAATTCAATTGAAGACGGTTGAACGACAAAAGTAATGGCGGCAGTTAGAGAAGGCAGTTCCACGACAAGTTGGCCACTACGAGGAAAGTGGACAGTTATAGAGCGATCAAGCAGTTTTTAAGCGGTTGATCACGAAGAGATCATCCGGAGAGTATAAAATGAAGAAAAGACATAGAGCAAAGGACCCCGAATCAAACACTCTCAAATAGAGAATATGTAACTTTAAATTTCTTAGTTTAGATTTAAACACTTCTTTTACAGTAACTCGTGTGCTTGCGCCCCTTGGAGGCATCCTGTTTTTATTTTTCAATTGTAAAGTCATCGCCAATAAAAAACACCCCTTTTTGGGACTTTTTCTCAAGAGGTTTGTCCCTTATACAATCGTCTTATCCCTTTTTAATTGTTAGCGACCAATCCACGCGAAACAATTTGGCACGCCCGGTGGGACCAGTGGTGTTTGGTGTTGAAGATACAAAAGGTGAAACAATATGCCTCAGAGATCCGATAAGGAAGCAGCAAGTCAGGGAGGAGTCCAGTCTGTGATCGAGCGTTATGAGGAGCAGCATATCTCTCCACGAACAGATGAACAGAATCAAAACAGTAACAGTCATTACGAATCAATGGCAGAGTTGAGTCCTCGAACGATGCGTGCACTGCTTGGAAAACTCACACAAAATGTCGTTGAACAGGTAAATCTTCGAAATATTCATAATATGGAAAGATTTAACCAGAATGGGAATGCACATTATGACAACATGGCCAAACAACTGAATACTTTGAATGAAATAATGAATAAGTTAGTAGGCGAAATTTGTCAACCAGTTACGCCTCTTGCAAACCACTTTCAAACTAGGACAATTGTGGGACATAATCTCCCAGTCCTAAACCCAAGTCAAGGGGTAGAACCACATTTCGGTCCCTCTACTTCAAACTAAGGGAATGGTGTAATGCCAAATCAGAATAATGGTAGTGGTACGCGTAACTTGGGGGGTAATCCAAATGTAAGAAATAATGTCCTAAATAAAGGGCAGAATACCCCATGTGTTAATGAGGGAATAAATGTTCAGGCTAATGGTAACAATGGCCCAAATCATGGTAACTTTATTCCTAATCAAGGACCAAATATCAGACCTCAAGCAAATCAACCGGTCAACCAACCTGTAGGGATTCCATATGACCCCAACGTCATGTTGAGGAATCAGATTATGGAAATCATACAAGACCAGATAACTTTTGGGGTACGTCCTATCATTAGGCCGACTTACACAAAGCCATATCCTGATTGGATAGACCAAGCATATCCATGGCCTAGAGGGTATAAAGTGCTAGAATTCTCACTGTTTACCTATTTAGGGGAGGTGTCTACTCTAGAACACATAGGACGATTCACACTGCAAAGTGGTGACGTAACTGGTTATCATAAAATGAGGCTTTTCCCTAGTTCATTAACAGGAGTAGCTTTCTCCTGGTTCATCAATTTGCCAGCGAATTCTGTTCAAACATGGCAACAATTGGAACAATTATTCCACGCTCAGTTTTATAAGACTGAGTCTGAAGTTACTTTGGCCGATTTGGCGAACCTACGTCAAATGCCAAACGAGTGGGCAGAAGGTTTCCTCCAAAAGTTCAAGACAGCAAGAAGTAAATGTTTTGTACCTCTGCCCAAAAAAGAGTTTGTCAAAATCGCTCAAGGTTGTTTGAGCTTTGATTTGAAAAAGAAATTCCAAGACAAGGAATTTCTTGACCTTTTCCAATTGAGCGCGAACATGATTAGATATGAACGATTGATAAGAGAAGAAAAGCAGATAAAAATTTTTAGCAAGGAGACTTATTATAGAGACCCAAATTTTGATGTTCATACTATCAATAACGAGTCATACGATCAGACCGAAATGTGTTTGGCCGAATTAGTCAAAGGAGACACGTATACTTGTCCTATAATGGCTAAGCCTAGACCATCGGGTAAGGATGAGCCTATGAAAGATGAAAACGTAAAAGTTAGAACGTTCTCGTTCGATGTAACAAAAGCTGACCTTATATTTGATAAATTATATAAGGATAAGCAGATAAAGTTGAGTGATAAGCATAAATTGCCAAACCATGAACAAATAAAAGGTAAAAAATATTGCAAGTGGCATAATGTATGGTCACATTTGACTAACAATTGCTTGGTTTTTCGCCATGTGTTACAGGATGCCATTGAATCAGGACGAATTACGTTCGATGATAAGAAGAAGATGACAGTGGATGAAAATCCTTTTCCACAGCCACTTGGAGTGAATATGGTGACGTCTGGTTTCAAAAACAAGTTGCCAAAATTCAAATTGGTTATAGATGATGGAGAAGAAGACCCTGGACCACATCCCAGTGTCTTTGAGCGTATTAAAGGGAAGAAGCCAAAGAAAGATGAAGACATCTTGTGTGCAAGATGTAAAAGAGAAGTGAGTGGGAATACGGAGAAACCAGGGATATGGCAGTATCCCCATCGCCCTACTCTCCTCCCAAATGCTTAGCCTGGTAAAGGGCGAGGTACATCATTCTACTAGGGATCGTCTTTTGAGAGGCAGTTCAGGCCAGTAGATAATGGGAGAACATTCAGGCCGCAACCTCACCGACCAAATGTATGACATTCGTTCCAGTATAATGCAGGAAAGGCAATACCCTTCGACGAGATGACTAGAGCCCAACAAAGGCGTTTCCAACGAAATTATGGACGAATGATGAGACAGCAATAGGGAGTGCCACGTCCTAAGGTGCCTAAACTACTCAAGGTAGCCAATCAAAATGTTCTCAAAGATAGTGAAGAGACTGGTATAGATGAATCAATGAAAGAGTTGCCAGAAACTTTTTTTGGGAGATTGAAGTTTGAGCGAGACAGAAAGGATGGAGAAGATCCAGATCAGCCCCTTACTATTCAGTTCGGTACGTTACCTCCTGTTGTGGCTAATAACTATTTACTAGCCAATGAGTTCAAGAATAAAAAGAAAGAAGAAGAAGAAAGAGAGGATAACGAAGGAGAAGCATGCGTGCTGGAATATGAAGAAGGCCAGACTTCTAGAGAGACCTACAATGGTGAGGAAGATGATGGAATGATAGACATTGAAGAGAAAATTGACCTAGAAAAAGGAGAGGAGTATCGTACAATACTCTGTTGAAGTAACTACATCGAGAAGGAGTTCGTGAAGTAGATTTATTGGGAGAACCATCTGGGCGTTCTTTCGATTTTTACGTGCTGTATGGGATGCCCAAAAGGAAGAAGAGAGTGCCTCGCTCTGAAAGTATGGATCACCTCCAAGGATAATGCCTCCTCCCACAGGTTGGGTAACTGAAGAGGAAGCATCAGAAAACAGTAAAAAGGGAATTCAGGAGACAGAGGTTCAGTGCGATATGCTGTACGTTGACTTATCACAAAAGGATAACTCAACAGAGGACAAGCAGAAAGTAGAAATAGAGGCTGTCGAAAAGGTTATTTTTAAATGGCCAGCCATGAAATTGACTAAACACTTGAGGCCGTTGTACGTTAAAGCTCTAGTTAACGGCATACCTGTGGCAAAAGTGATTGTCGATAATGGAGCAACTATAAACACCATTCCATCTAGGATGATGAGGAAATTTGCAAAGACAGAAGGAGATATGATTCCAACAGAAGTCATCCTTACAAGTTTCAATGGAGGAGCAACTGCAGCTAAGGGAGTTATGCCATTGGACATAACTATAGTTACAACTACGAGGACCACAGTCTTCTTTGTAATAGATGGTCCTACTAGTTACAATGTGTTACTAGGAAGAGATTGGATAAACGAAAGTCACTGTATACCCTCATCGCTCCATCAATGCTTGATTTTTTGGAATAACAAGGGTGAAGTAGAGGTGGTGCAGGCCGATCATAGGCCTTTTGTCGCAGAAGCAAACTCAGTG